AATGTTACTTCATCCAATGATACAACATTATTACAAGTCAAATTACAAAGTCAATCCGCACAGCTCAATAGTCAAGATCATATACAGATCTATTGAGAGTTTACTAGTTCCACAACTCTAATACTCACCAATCAAAACTACGCAGCATGCTGCTAATCATAGCGCACATATCAATTTATTATTATTATTATTATTATTATTATTATTATTGTTCCAAAACAAGGCAACAAAACCACGGCAACTTTGAGTCATGTTTCCTTACTGTGGCTCAATAAGGTCTGACCTAAAGTCTCCAAGACTTTTTGCTCATCTGAAGAATAGGATTACATTGTTCACATTTGAACATCTCTATTAAGTCCAGGTCAACCAAATTAACTTCCATAAACTAAATCAATTTAGAGAGAAATTCGCATTGGGATTAGTTTGATTAGCATAATATGATTTTGCCGCAAAAATCTAAATTTAATAGTGACAATATTTACACAAGTCGCAAGATCAAAAATCCGGTATGCTCGTAATCAACTCTTGCGCCACAGGTGAAAATTATCTAAAATTTAATTTAATTCATGCGCAAAATATTAGTTTTCGGGAGTAAATCTACAAAGACATATCTCTCAACCGAACAACCTCCCACTGACTATGGCATATCTAAAAGCATGATAAAATATTCTAATTCCATACAATAGCATCTTAATATAGATTCATAATCAACTCACGTTATGTTATATTTAGTAATGGAATATAAATTAAAAAAAAAACAATTAATCATGCTATTCTAATCATAACATATTAAAAAAAAAAAAACCTAGGCAAAAAAATAATAATATGCTATGTTTAATATTCAGATTATGCCATAACAGAAAGTATATCACTTCTGAAATTTTTCTAGAATTTTTTAGTATTTTCTGGAATTTTAAATAATTAATAAACACACATAAAATCATAAATAAATATTCCAGAATCTGAAAAAATGCAACAACTATACCAGTAAAAAGTAAACCATTACAATGGTCTATAGTAAAAATTTCAGCTCCAAAAACTTAATCATGCAACACCATATGCATTTTAAAGCAGAAATAATGAATTATTATTTCAGGAAAAATATTTTTTATTTTCATAAAATTTTGAAAATTTTACAGAAGATAGAAAATTTAATTATGAGTCTAACAGTACTAACCACGCCTAAAACAAAGCTATAACAAATTATTTATGACCATTTAAAGCAATTCTGAATTTTTAAAACAAACAAACAGAACCTTATACCCAGCTGCCAAACCAGCCAAGCCGGCACGGGAAACGGCGCGGCTCGACTTGGCTCTGCGCTCGGCGTAACACAGGGCGCGCACGTAGAAGACGCAGACAGCGCGCTTGTGATGGCGCGTGGAGGCGTGTGGGAAGCCCGCCTAGCGCATGATGACGAATGGTGCACGCATGGCGGCGCTGACGGCATCAAATGGCGCATGCAACTCACGCACCACCTTCCAAGGTATTTTTTGATCCGATTTTTGTACTGTCAGACTCCACTTTTCAAAATAAAATCAATGGTTGTATCAAAAAATACATTTAACAAACCCAAATAATATGGTGTATTACACTCTCTCAAATGAGAGTGGAAGTGCAGAAACTCTGCACTTCATCATCTTCTTCCCTAAGCTACCAAAAAATAAAACGAACCCAAATTAGGGTTTGATATATCTCATCACCCGTAAATCCAAATCTAACAAATAATATATGGTTTCGAAAGTCTCGAAACAAGAATTCTAAATATGTAAGATTTGCAGAGTGAAATTAAAGCATGTAAAACCGTCATGCATGTAAAGTTTCGAAAATATAAAATGGGTCTTCATTTTTCTTGAAATCTAACCGTGGAATTTTCATGAAACTTTGCAGATATGTTCTACATTAAATATACTACAATATATATATAAATTTTAGGTCGATCGGAGATAGTTCAAAAAATTATTAATTTTCATGCATATATCGTGTATATATTTATATAAAATTATACACATATTTTAATACATAAAAATAAGCACGAAAATACTCATTACAACTCTGATACCAATGTAAATTAAGTATAACGCAGTGGATAAAATTATTAAGATCATACCTTAGGTAATAGAACCTGAAACAAAGAATCTTGTGGATAAATCACGTGCTTTAAAAGTGTGAACAACGAACACCCAGCAGTGGAGTGATACCACAATATGAGTATCACCACAAAAGTCACAGTGCAAAAAACTCAATTGTTATTTTAATAGGAGAGAGTCAGTATGGGAAAAAACATTCGTTATTTGATTCATCCTATATCGCATATATCGTATCAGATATATAGACTAAGTATATCATTTATCCATATCAGTTGATATGATAGATATAAATATCATGAGTGGGTTATCCAAATAAGTTTTGAATTCAAATTTAAACTTACATGGATAAGGTTTAAAAGATGAGCGCCCAATTTCTAACATTAATTTTATATCACTACTTTTCTATTTGAACCCTAAGCACACCCAAGTATGATGTATAGTGTCTTAACAAAATAAAATTTATATGCATTTAATCTACTCCTACGAAGAAAAATACATAGGATGTTTAATGTTTTATTATATGTCTCACATTTTGCGTTTAGTCCTATGTGTAATTAGACTTATTGAAAATTTTAATCTCAATCACTCATTATCTTTCTTGGTATAATTCTGTGTGCAGATTCTATGCACCTATCATTGATGAAATAGAATTAACATTTGTTGCAATTTATGACTTAAGTAAGATGTATAAATCCCTAAAATCAAAAAATAAAAAATCACATGCATTTAGAACTAAAACTACATACAAGGCACAACAGACCTAACATTCAAAAAGGTAGCAAGATCAGTTCCTCCGGGTAAGTGGGTAAGTTTTTTGGAATTTCAGTTGCATACCTAGTCCATACTTTACTTTCAATGTTGTTTGGGAAGTCTTGAACTTAGGTTTTTTTTTTATTTTTTTTACAAAAAGACAAATTTTTTGCAAAATTAAAAAAAAAACATATCCAAACAAAATATCACATCCAACCCCATAATCATTTCACTTTTTCTCTCACAAACATCACATCCAATCACAAAAAAACTCAACTATTTTTCCAAATATAATTTTTTTTTTCTCCAATAATATCCTACAACTAAAAAAACTTACATAAAAACTCATTTCCCAAACACCCACAAAGAGAACATGCTATATATCACTCTTTTGTATGTCCTAAAATGAATTTGTTATTTTTTATTCTTTTTTTGGCAAATTACATATACCTCCCTCGAGGTTTAGCTAAATTATAAATATCCATTGAGGTTTCGGAAATTACAGATACCCCCCTGAGGTTTATATTTTCATAACAAATTGCCCCCTGAAGTTTATTTTTCATAACAATATGCTCCCTAATTTGTTATGCAAATGGTGCTTTCAAGGGGTATCTGTAATTTCTCAAACCTCAGGAGGTATCTGTAATTTTGCTAAACCTCGAGGGGTATATGTAATTTGCCCTCTCTTTTTTTAGAAATTCATTTGTTATCCCTTTTGTCGATTTATTTACTTTTATAATAACAAAAATGAAATGAAAATGTGACCAAAATCAAAACTCATTAATGTTATGGTTGAAAATTAAATTTGTGGAATGAAAGGAAAAATAACAATGTTATATGTTTTAAAATGCCATCACCATATTTGTAGCATGAATATTAATGAAGAGTGAACAACGGAAGCTCATTAATATTACGTTTAAATTTTAAATTTATGAAATAGAAGGAGAAGATTGGCAAAGAAAATGAAGTAAAAGTATATATTGTTTTCATTTATTCATTTGGAGCAAGAAATTAAGAACAAAATGAATATGCATTTATGAAAAAAAAAAGTCATTTTTCGTTTAATTACGTAATTGCTCATAAACAATGAATGTGTGTGTAATTTTATTTTTCTTTCCTTGACAAATCTATCTTGATCACAATTTGAGTCTCTCACATTTGCTAATAAACAAATATATTGGATTTCTCTCTAGTCTTAGAAATATATCTTACCATCTAATTTGACATTTGACAACTAGTTTATCAAGTCGCAAATTATAATCACTTAAATCTATGGTATTTTTATATAATATATTGTCAAAAATTATACTTGTCACCATTATCATATTTATTTCATAGAATATTTTTATAAGTTGTCATCTATTTAAATGATAATCTAAATACTTACGATTATCAAATTGATTTTTTTTTTTCACCCATAAAGATTGAATTAAATAAAAAAATAAGTCAGACAGAAGAAAAATCAAGTCCTTAATAAATATATGCATATTTATAATAAAAATAGGGTAAATTATAAATATATCCCGTCAGATTTGTTTAAAATACGAATTGTCTTACTGTGATTTAGAAAATTATAAATATATCTTTATCATAATTTTTTATTTAATAGAATTAATTAAAAAATTAAAATTACTAATTGATTTTCTATAAAATAATAAAATTATTTGAATTATTATTTGAAATAAATTTTTGATATCATTAAAAATTGTTAAAGGAGTAGGTGAAGTGGAGGTGGTAGTAGTGGGTTAGGTTTAGTGGAGTAGGTGAGGTGGTAGTGGTGTAGTGGGTTAGGTTTAGTGGATTAGGTTTAAGTGGGTGAAGTAGGTGGTGAGTAGGTGGATTTTAACAATTTATGTTGTTAAAAAAAATTATTCTCTCTTCTCCAGACCCCTAAAATAGCCCTATCCCAGAAATTTATTTACTTCCAAAAAATAAACAAGCACATTTTGCATTCTTGAAGTGGTTGTAGTTGTGCCCATGAGCTCTTTTATGCTCTGTTTTTACATGTGCTCTGAGATTTTATTTTAGTGGAAATCCAAACACGGCCTTAGTTCAAGATTCAGCATTGTCAGTAGCACAGTGCCTCAAACCTAACAACCCACCAACACACCGAAGAGACAGAGACAGCAATACTCTCTCTCTCTCTCCTACCTACCGAAGGTTGGAAAGGAGAAGCAGAGAGTTCCCTTCCCACCTGTTTCTCGTTTTTCTCGTCATCAAAAAACCCTCTCTAGACAAGACCGAATCTATTCCATCAGTTTTCTCGAACACCCAATTTCCGGAAATGGATTTTTTCACTACCCATTTCCCCAAAATCGAATCTTTCACTTCTTCATCATCCTCGAATCTCTCAAACCCATGAAAAAATGGGTTTGGGTGCGTTTTAAACCCTAGTCAGAGCTTATTTACAAGATTTTGATTAATGGGTAGAAGTGAATTCAAAGTTTTGATAGGCAAACGAGATGGGTTCTCCGATTTGGGGCTTCAATGGAGTCTCCCTGAAGGTTCTTATCACCCAGGAGGCTTGTTTGCTAGTGTTGGCCAAGTGGGTAATAATATGGGTTTTGGCATTTCCCCAAATTCGCCTAATTCTCGAGACAACAATGGTGGATTCAAGCTACCTTATACAGATTTATATGTCAAGTATGTGTCTTCGCCGGAGGGTTTTCGGATTGTGGGTGTTCCAGAGGGGACTGAAGAGGAAGGATTGAGGAAGAAGAAGAGTGGGATGAAGCTTAAAATCAAGATTGCTAATCCCTCACTCAGAAGGTTGATAAGCGGCGCGGTCGCCGGGGCGGTGTCAAGGACTGCTGTGGCTCCATTGGAGACTATCAGGACACATTTGATGGTTGGAAGTAGTGGGCATTCTTCTACTGAAGTGTTCCACAATATTATGAAGACTGATGGGTGGAAAGGGTTGTTTAGGGGCAATTTTGTGAATGTGATTAGAGTTGCACCAAGCAAAGCTATAGAGGTAAAAATAAAAATGATGTCTTTTGATTCTTTCTTGCTTGAATTGTTTCCATTGTTGTGTCTTAAATATTATTTGCCAATTAGATATGTTCTCAATTGACTGCTTTCTAAAGTATTTTTTGTTGGTTCGTGTCTTGGTTTGGTTTAAGCAAGTTTGTATGATCTAATAGAGGTTTTTTTGGTGGTGTTTGGTATTGTCATCTTGAAATCCAGAAATTGTGAGATTTATTGGTTTATGTATTGCAATAGCTAGCCTGAAGTCACTCGACTGCGCTATATTTGTTGGTTCCTATTTTCTGCTTGTTTATTTGATTCAATGCATGAGCTTTCATGAACTAGTTTGATGTAAAACTGCACCGCCTGTATCTGTTTCTTTGTTTTTTTCTTTTTGCTGATTGATTTGGTTTTGATGGTTATCTATTCCAAGAGTTCCTTGTGAGAGAATATGATATATGAGGGTTTTTGTAGTTATCGTGCTTAGATTTATGATGTATTTGCGCAGAGGGTATATCTTTAAGAAACAAAAACCTCTTCCTCCTTTGTTTGTAGTGTTCCAACTCAAACTGATTACCGTGGGAACAAGTCTTTGAGTTTGATCCTCCTGGCTGTTGGACAACTGCTTCAAGCCTTCAATCTTTTGTTGACTGCTGTAATGAATTTATGATCTCAATTTCCTGAGGCCTGCAGATCTGTTCTTTGTCCCCATGTTGAAACGTTAGCTAACCATAGTTGGTTTTTCCTTTCAACTTGCCAAAAAATTGGCATTCTTGTCAAAATGTTTCATCTGGAGCTTTCTAATTTATATGGATTGTAACTCTGCCCTTTATTGATCAAAAGCAAGTCCTACTTTATGTTTCCTAAAACCTTGTATGTATGACGTACCCCACATGATTTATTATTATTTTTTTAAATTCTCTCATAACATTGTCTTTATTCTGCATTTTGCAAGTTCTATATCGTCCCTATAACAATATCCAATATCCAACATCGCATATTGTTGCTTTTAAGCATATCAGCATATCTCCATATTTTCTGGTCAAATGCATTTTTAATTTCCAATTGATCCCTTTAGTGGTCTATGCTATGCTCTATTTTATGGTAGTTCCTACCATTATCATGATGATAACATTATATGGAAGTTGACAACCTATAAAATGGTAACCCATAAAATCGCCACTTGAGTTCGTTTTTCAAAATTAGAATGTCGACTTTTCAGTTATTCACCATTATAATATTTTGTTTGCAAAAAAGCTATATATTTGTATATAGAGATCATAGACTGATAATGGAACTTATTTTGTTGGTTCTTGATTCATTCACATTTTATATACGTCATCACCTTGCTTATATTTATACATACATTGTATCTTGGACTAAAAATCGTGTTTCAATCTTGTTCCTCTGCCTTCTTTTGGCTTTTTACAAAAAAATCATTTTTATGGTCATCTTTCATCTCTCTTTTACTGCCAATATTCATCTTTGTACTTTTGCTGGCTATAGAAGTTGTTTTTGCTTAATGGAATCTATAATGGTTTCTTGCAATAAAAAATAGTTCGTTGTTTCTAACTTTTTGGTACTGACTTAATTCCTCCCAGTCAATATCCCTTGGACTAATCACTCTGCAGCTGAACTTTTACAACACCCAACTGGGAATAGTCATGTGTACCGTTCTTATTTTCGACTTTGGTGTGCCCAACAGAACTTAATTAACTACTTGACATTGGTTAATCAATTTGTAATCAGATGATATTTTAATTGGTTTAAATTAGAAATTAAATATATATTTTTGTTTCAATCTATACATATTAAGCATTGTCCTCACTTTTATATAAACTAATGTTACATACTATTGTTTCTTAATTGAAAATTATTTTTTTTCCTCTTTGTAGTTATTTGCATATGATACCGTCAACAAGACCTTGTCGCCCAAACCTGGGGAACAGCCGATGCTCCCTATCCCCGCCTCACTAGTTGCAGGGGCCTGTGCTGGAGTTAGCTCAACTCTGGTTACATATCCACTCGAGTTACTCAAGACACGGCTAACCATACAGGTAACTCAACCCCCATCCGACAATGTGATACACCATAGGAACTGAAACTTCAAATGTAACAATTAAGAATATTGAGCGGGTTGTGTTTAATAATATGCAGAGAGATGCTTATGATGGTCTATTTGATGCATTTATTAAAATATTGCAAGAGGGAGGACCGGGAGAGCTCTACAGAGGTCTCACCCCTAGTCTTATCGGGGTAATCCCATATGCCGCCACCAATTACTTTGCATATGATACATTACGAAAAGCATACCGGAAAATTTTCAAGCAAGAGAAAATCGGCAACATAGAAACGCTTCTGATTGGATCCGCGGCCGGTGCCATTTCAAGTAGCGCAACTTTCCCACTTGAGGTGGCTCGGAAACACATGCAAGTAGGAGCTGTGAGTGGGAGACAGGTTTACAAGAATGTGCTTCATGCACTCTCGAGCATACTCGAACAGGAAGGAATACAGGGTTTGTATAAAGGGCTTGGTCCCAGCTGCATTAAGTTGGTGCCTGCAGCCGGGATTTCGTTCATGTGCTATGAAGCTTGCAAGAGGATATTGGTAGAGAATGAGGAGGACGCATAGAAGATATGGTGCAGAAGAATAAATGGAACTGAGTTGATGCTGTACTCGTTTGAGTGGTAGGTAAAAGGTAGGACACAGCTTTATTTATGGAAAATTTGTGTTTTTTTTTTTTTTTTGGACTGAATTTTTTCATTTCAAGGAGCCTGGTTTTATGAAGTTAGAATTGATGTTTTTGAGATCTGATTTAAAAGTGGTTTTGATTTCTTGGTTTGGAAAATGATTGGATTGTACACTGACCAATTACATAGATCTGGTTGAGAAGGCTGCACTAGAGGAAAGTCTCCACTTTTGACAGCTTCAATTTGATTTTATCATTTTGTGGAAAACTCAAGATCCGTGGAATGTTTCCTGCCTCACTTGATTTTTTTGGGCTAATGAAGTACTAGTTCGGAAGTGCAAATCTTACTAATAATTTGTTTAGCCTCGTTTAAAAACATGTTTTTTTAGTAATTTTTTGACTTTTTTACTAAAATATGATGTAAAAAAAATTAGTATGTTTGATATAATTTTTTGATTTTTTAAGAAAAGATATACAAAAAATAGAAGAAAAAAAAAAAAAAAGAGAGAATCATTGACTTTTTTGTATAAATTGTTAATTTTTTAGTTTTTTTAATAATTTTTTAACTTTTTAACTTTTAAACTAAAAAATAGTGTTGTCAAACGGGGCCTTAATATCCTCCAATTCTCATTACTCGCCCAAAAAATATTACCCTGTTTGGATAAGGAGTTTGCTTCTAGTGCAGATTTTACTTACCGTTTATAAAGTAAAAATGGCGTATATAATTTATTTTTTTTTCAAAAAAATTACCCTGTTTGTATAAGGAGCTTGCTTACAGTTTATAAAGTAAAAATAGCTTAAATAATTTTTTTTAAAAAAATTGGTTATTGAAAGTGAGAATTCTTTCCCATCATTCTGTGTGTTCCCCAAATCCCTTGTTTCAAACATAACATAGCCTCCGCATAAATTAGCTGATTACAGGCAGAACTTCACAACATAACCCAAATTATATTGGTCAAGTTTGAAAAGAAAAGAGAGAGAGAGAGAGAGAGAGACCTAGTAGATTAGGGTTTATAAATCTTCCTATTCATCCAGGAAACAAGGCGGTGCAGCACTTAAAATTTTGATGATCGGTTTTCCAGTCGCATACAACCCTAACCTTAGCATGATCACAATAGGAACATAAACTTGTTCAATGCAATAACTTTCATAACAAGCTGCGCTTTTTTTCTTTTTTCTTTTTTCTTTTTCTTTTTCATTTTTTCTCTACATAAATTTCATAAAGAAGATCAGCAATGCTATAGATCCCTACTGCACACCAATCTAAGAAGTCGTCACCAATGACATTTTTCTTTTCGTCTTTTTCTTTTTTGCGGGATGGTGGGGGTTCAGTTCTGCTCCTCACTATCTCCGACTTCTCTTCTCTCTACCTCAGCAGCCATCAGCTCATCGAACTCATCTGTCTTTCCCAGCATTATTTCAATCTACAAAAAAGGGGAAAAATCCATAAAATAAGATACATCATGGATTCCATCCCACTTAACACTCCCACATAAAAAGTCGCAAGAATGATATTTCCTTGTCATAACATAAAACACGGTGCTCTTTCGACCACGTTTGCAGCTTTTACCAGTTCATAAGCACCAGATTAGGTAAACATGGCATGCTCTTTCAAGAGACCAGGACACAACATATACTTTTGCAGAGCAAATATGACAGGAACCATGTTTAGTAGACAGAAAAATACAATTTACACATCACGTCTGCATAAAAAAAATCCATCATCTTGCCTAAGCTTTACGAACAAAATGTATGCATGCCACATTTTCAAAAAAAATTCCATTCTCCTTTCTTGGCTTCTAAATTTTTCCAACCAGGATGCATTCATGCAACCAGATAACCAAAGTGGAAAAGTATATCAACTGGGATATCAATCATCTGGACAATTTTTATTTTGTACCATTCTACGAGTGACAAATGAGAAAACAGCATATGCAACAGCAGGTCCAGCACCCTTTCTTTATTCATCTTAATATTGGAACATAGACAGGGTAGTTGATAACCAAGGATCAGTTATTTTATCAAGGCATGCAATGTATCATCATTTTTCAAATTACCTTTGCTTTTGGAACAGGTCGTGCTTCAGGTTCATCCCTCATATCAACAGTCAATGTCCGGATCTCTGTGTAACATGAATGTTACAAAATTCAGTTACAAAAGCCCAAAAAGGGCTTTAAGGGGAAAAGAGACTTGTGAAGCAGAGTGAGATACTCACTTTTTTCAACTGCAAATCCATTATTCTTCAGAATTTCAGCCACAGTGACCACTGTTGCAATTGCTGTGGACATTATGTAATGTAACATGTCAATCCTTTGGCAAACCATAAAAAGAGCATGGAAAGATATGGTTACATATATATATATATTTTTTATTTTTTTTGACAACACCGCATTTGAAATTGGACTGCAAGAAGCATGTCAGCTAAATGTTCACATAAGAGTTTAAAACCAACAGCAATAAGACAAGGGTTATTAACCATAACATGTGATTTAAGGCATCCAGAGTAAATATGTGATCCCATTTTGTGAACAAATTGAACCACTATGCGTTACACTAATGCATAAACCCCCACACAATACACACAAACACACATTTGCATACAAAAGGCCTTGAGATGCATATCACTTAGTCTAGGGCAAAAACAGTGTATGACATTGATCATGAAACCATGTTGACCAACCCCCCAGTTACAATTGAATAAAACTGTGGTGGTGACAATGATAACAATGCAGCAAACTAGTTGATGTTTGGCATCCATCACCTCCCCATTCATTTAAGCTTTGGACACGACTCAACTCTTGAATCGGTCTCCTCCAATCAGCTCTTTGTAGAGCCTTATCCTCAATTAAATCATAGGCAAGGCACAGTTAAAAAATATTAAATTCATGTTCACAAGATGTCACAATAGATATACATGAGCCCTCTCCCTATCACAACATCCCTGCTTTTTTGCCATTGGGGTCAGCTATTTGAAAGATTCTACACTAAACACAACAGAGGTGAGGTTGACCAGCACAAATATGCAATTATTTTTCCATCAAAGAATCAACGAAGCAACATGTTCACAAGATGTCACAATAGATATACATAAGCCCTCTCCCTATCACAACATCCCTGCTTTTTTGACCATTGGGGTCAGCTATTTGAAAGATACTACACTAAATACAACAGAGGTGAAGTTGACCAGCACAAATATGCAATTATTTTTCCATCAAAGAATCAACGAAGCAACATTGGTAGGAAATTAAACACCTATCTTCTGTGGCATGAAAATTAGCATGAAGCAACCAATTCAAGAAGAGGGCTAAAAAGGTACAATAGCACAATCAAAAGGCCTGTATACAACCAAACAGTTTACAATACACTCATCACAGTGAACTTGTGTTTTCTTCCTCTTATTTTATTGCCTGACAAACCGAATTCACAAAACCTATTTCCTAAACCCAATAAAAATTTGATGTGTGTGTGTGAGAGAGAGAGAGAGAACAAAAAGAATCCTTGCAGGATAGAAAGCTATTTCTTACTATTACATGTCTTGTTTTTTTATAATGAGAGATACACCTTCCTACCTTTGCCATACTCACCAGGCCTTTTTCCTAGCTTCTCTTTTCCTATTCACTTCTGATTAATGTGCTAGAACAATAGTTTGGAGGGTTTATCAACTGATCTTACATTTTATAAACAATTGCATTTTCATTTTACAGATATGAATGCAATTTTTAGTTTTGATCAGAAGAATACTCGAGAAGTAAATGCCAACCCTATCAATTTTCAGCCAAACTCCACTTGAGCTAAAAATCTCAACTCCAACTCAAATTGCACCATTGTTTTGTATTTGAACAAACCGTAATATTCTTGTCTCAATCATCATAAATCAAGAGTTTATTATCTGTATCTCAACAAAACTGCCAAGCTAATTAAGATAACTCGGTCAAAGCAACAACCAAAATTTATACTAAAGCAGCATTAACAATAAATAAAGATAAAAAAAAAAAAATAAGGGTTAATTACACTTGTACCCCTAAGGTTTGGGTTGAATACATATCACCCCTGATGTTTGAGAAATTATACTGACGACCTTGTCATTGTCATTATTTAGACGGAATTAACGTTGATATCAAAAAGACATTAAATTCATACGCTCTTTCTTTTCTTACTTTGCTTTACTTCTTCTGTTTTTCTATCTGGAGTTGTTACATTTTGTATAAATAGGGGTTTGTGAAATGAGACTATTAACCACACGGGTGGAAATGTAATTTCTATAATGTCAGGGGTGGGCCGTAATCGGACAAAACCTCAGGGTGTCAGCATAATTTACCCAAAATCCAATATGGAATACAAAAAATTGCCAAAGTTTATTATAAAAAAAGAAAAGAAAAAGGAGAACAGAAGTAATACCCATTCCAAGAGCAGACAGCTCAACCTCATTATATTGCTGCATATACCTCTGCAAATACAATTATCAACCAAATAATGAGAGAAAAATGACGTACAATTGATTCCATTAATTTTTACAAACTCCTACAGAAATCTTTGCCGTGCTGAATATATATATATATATATATATATAGAGAGAGAGAGAGAGAGAGAGAGAGAGATGAATATGGGGGAGGGGGGGACCTTAGCGAGGTTGACATAGAAGAAGAGGGGTTTCTTGGTGTTGGAGACCTGGATGCGGTTCCTCTTGTGAGATTCAGAGATGTTGATGCTCTTCACTTCCATTTTTCCCAACTCAAAACCCTAATCAAACCCCAAATCTCTCGATTCTAAACCCTAATCTGATCCCCCAAAACAGTCTTGTTTCTCTTCTGACGACGAGGTCGTCAAAACGACGACGTGTCTAGAGCTGGTTAGGACACTGGGCCTTGGGCTTTTTTATCTATCTATTCATTTCGTGGTTAGCTGGGTTGAAAGAAAGTACTTGGGCCTACAACCTTATTCTCTGCACCTTTTTTCTTTTTCTTTTTTTGGTTCTGACACTATATTGTTATATGCCTGAAAATGGTTTATTTATTTTATTTATAAGTCCCATGCTCATTTTCTCATTATGTGAAATCTTTTGATTTTTTTTTTTCCCCTCTATCTGGGTCTTTTAAGTTTGAATCAATACATTCTAATTCATTCCTAATAACTCCCAAAGGATACCTCCCACGAAAAATATTTAATTGTCCCAAATTGACCAGACATTTTCTTTACATTTCAATTCATTCCTTATACCTCCCAAGAAAAATCTCGCATTGGTCCAAATTGACGAGTTGGTGTCACCTTAGTTTATTCATGCAATGATAATCTATTTTTTGGAAAGATTCTAACTTTCATGGTTTGATGAGTCTTCGAAACCTTTATTTATTGAAAGTGTATGTCCATGTTTAAAAGTACGGTATAATTAATAATGAGATCAAAATATAATTGAGTATAAAATTATTAAGTTAAAATGTAACTCATCAAATATGTTGCTAAAAATTTGAAGCGAAAATATAAATACAAGTCTGATTTGTTATTCGAAAATAAAAATATGTTATCTTTGTCACTGAGGTGGACTTTTTCAATCTTTAAAGAAATCACACTATCTCCATTATCTCTCTTATCTCTCTTTGTGAAAAGATTACATTTTAATAGTAAAACTAAACCATTTTTTTGTTAACAGAACCTAATTTAAACCCAATTTAAATTTGTTCACCAAAGAAAAAAACATTTTCCAAAAAAGATCTTCCAATTATATTTTGATCTCATCATTAACTATAAATATTTCTAATGATGTTTTGTCTCTTAATAACCAAGCAACTTTAATTTATTTATTTATTTAAATTTCGAATTCAACTTTGTAAACTAAAAAAAAAATTCCACAAATATTTTTTAACATGATTATAATCAAACCCAGCAGCACCAGCCAGCACACAAAGCAAATGTAAAAAACAAAAACAAAAAAAAAACAATTTCACGTGCCCTTTACCTCAAAATCCTCTTTCCTATTTTTTATTATTATTTTTTTTACCTTTCCTATACTAACTACAAAAACCCATAAATCTAGGGCATACTCTTCACTTTTAAGAGCATAAAACACATAAACCCATAAATCTAGGGCAGGCCCCGGTTATAGGGAAAAAAAAAATAAAAAATAATGTTTGGTTTCTCACTCCTCTTCCTTTCTCCTCTTTCTCCCAACCTCTCCAATTCCAAATCCTCCTCTTACAATTTCTTTCAAAAGTACAGTACCTCTCATAGACAACAACCCAAGATTCAAAAACCCTTATTGCTGATCAGAATCTGAAATCACCCCTTTTCTTACAATTATACCACCCTCATCAGCAACAACCCTCTCCGAAACCACCCTTACTGCCACCCCAGAACTCCACTTCCACGGTGCCTCCAACACGACACCGTAGGGCCAAAACCTTATCCGCGGTTATCTACGGCAACACTACCATTAGCCGCGACTTCAACAGGTATCGTACGGCGATGGTTTGTTTGGATCCAGTACTCCCCGTACCGAAAATGCTACACTCAAACCGACCCGATCTTCGATTTAATCAAATTGACTCGCTGAGCTGCAATAACCATCAAATTTGTCTTTGCCAAGTATTGTACGGCAACGATTCGTTCACAGTGGGCAATTTCTCAACCGAAACGTTGACGTTTCGGAGGACCAGAGTCCCCAACGTTGCTCTCGGATGCGGTCACGACAACAAAGGCTTGTTCGTCAACGTTGCCGGGTTGTTGGGTTTGGGCTGGGGAAGTGAGGTTGAGAGACAAAAGAGAGAGAGTTTAGTGAGGCTGGAGATTGGAAAGTGAGGCTGAGAGCCTTAAACAAGATATGAGAGTTTAAAGAGAGAGTGAGAAGAGCATGAGTGAGTGAATATACATTTTGAAATTTAAAATCTGGAAAGTGAGACTGAGAGAAAGAGAGATAAAAGAGTGTAGAAAGAGAATGATGTGAGACGTGAGAGAGACAGATGGAGCATGGGTGGGTGCAAAGTTTTAGATGGTGATGTTAGATGTGAAGATGCTGCTATGCATAAAGCACAACAGCAATTATTGCGCATGGTACAGGGCGTTTTGTTTCTCTTTTTTTTTTTTTGGCTCATTATTGTTGAATGGTATTGGCTTTTAAAAATATTCCTTGTGGCAAAATGTTTTATTAATTTTGTTATTGGTTTCATTTATTTAAAAAAAAAAAAATCCTTTGACCAAAATATTACTGATTTTCTTATTGGTTATTAAAAAAAATTTATACTTATAACTCATCTCTGAGTATTTGTTAAAAATCAAATAATGTTAGAAAATTTTAAATTTTTAATACATAGTTTAAAATAAATAAATAAATATATATATATAAGGGAAAATTTCACTTTACCCCGTATAGTTTAGGCCATATGTGAATTACCCTCCTGACGTTCGAATATCACCACTTAACCCCGCTGTGGTTGATGAAGTAAAGTGTATAGTTAGCTTTTCCATCCAAATTAATAGGCTGTGAGATTCACACGCCATGAAGAGAGTAAACTATGTTTTATGACCAAAATACCCCTCTATATATAAGACTCCCTCAATCATGAGGGAGGCAATACTCTCAGATCCGCCCTCTCTCTCTCTATATATATATATACATATATGATGTCCATGCTTGTAATCCATTGTTTATTGTTGTAAAATTGTGGTTGAGATTGAGCAGATCATGAAAGAGAAGATTGAACACCTCTGAGATATAGTTTGCTTAAGTTGAATTGATTCAACCATTTTTATTTTAGATCCTAATATTTTAATTTGAACAGATCATATCATATATATGTTTTTGATCTTCTTTTTTTTTTGGTAGCTTCTTTTTGTATAGATAATGAATCATCTGTGTCCTTTGACCAAAATATTACTGATTTTCTTATTGGTTATTAAAAAAAATTTATACTTATAATTCATCTCTGAGTATTTGTTAAAAATCAAATAATGTTAGAAAATTTTAAATTTTTAATACATAGTTTAAAATAAATAAATAAATATATATATATAAGGGAAAATTTCACTTTACCCCCTATAGTTTAGGCCATATGTGAATTACCCTCCTGACGTTCGAATATCACCACTTAACCCCGCTGTGGTTGATGAAGTAAAGTGCATAGTTAGCTTTTCCATCCAAATTAACAGGCTGTGAGATTCACACGCCATGAAGAGAGTAAACTATGTTTTATGACCAAAATACCCCTCTATATATAAGACTCTCTCTCTTTTCGTTGAAACCAAACATTCTCTATCTCTCTCTATCTTCTCTCTTATCTCTAGTTCTGCAGCGCCGTCCTCTCTCTCTCTCTGTTTTGTAGCTCCTTCGCCATTGTGATCTCGTCATCGCCGTAACCATCGCAATCTCGTATCAAACGCTCCCTCTCTCTCTCTCCCCTCCACTATGTTTCCCTCTCTCTTGAGTTCATGATTGACGATTGGCGCTGGCGGAGCGCAGTGAAGTCGAGCTAAGCGAGTCGAACTCCTCTATACGCTGCCGCCTAAGAAGTCAATCATGAGGGAGGCAATACTCTCAGATCCGCCCTCTCTCTCTCTATATATATATACATATATGATGTCCATACTTGTAATCCATTGTTTATTGTTGTAAAATTGTGGTTAAGATTGAGCAGATCATGAAAGAGAATATTGAACACCTCTGAGATATAGTTTGCTTAAGTTGAATTGATTCAACCATTTTTATTTTAGATCCTAATATTTTAATTTGAACATATCATATCATATATATGTTTATAATCTCTTTTTTTTTTTTCTGGTAGCTTCTTTTTGTATAGATAATGAATCATTTGTTGTTGGTAGCTTCTTGGAAGAATCATCGAGAGATCTGAATCCATGGCCATGATAACAAGAATATATATAAAAGCTTTTCAAGGGGAGAGAAAAAAGAGAGAGAGAAAGAGATCAAGAATTCAAGATCTTTGAAAATATTGTTTGATCTTTAATTAGTTTCTATGATTGTTTGACATGCATACAAAAACATCCACCAAGATCACACTTGGATTCTTTCTCTATTGAGGACCCAATTTTTATTATTATTTTTTTTTAATCTCTTTTTCTGTGGATAAATGTGTATGTAATTGAAAAATCTGAAATCAAATATATATATGTATATGATTTTGTTTTTGCATCTGCTGTATGGGTGTATATATATATATATATATATGATTGCTAATCATTAAACACCACATGAGAGAGAGAGAGAGAGAGAGAGAGAGAGAAGATGAAGATGAAAATGAAAAGGATGAACTGTGAAGAAGATGGAGAAGATGAAATGGAGAGAGAGAGAAGATGAAGATGAATGTATAATTGTTAATTTATAACTTTTGTTAACAGAAGTTAGTGTACACTTTGCTCCATTAACCACATGAGGTTATGTGGTAATATTCGAACGTCACGCACATGGCCTAAACCATGGGGTGAATTGAAGTTTGCCCTATATATAAATTATATTAAAAATGAAAACATGTATATAAATATATAAAAGTGTGTAAGAATAGATAAAATGTGTATTAAAATTTTAATTTTTGAACATTATTTAATTTTTAACAATTCGTAGCGTAGTTTTTTTAAATACAATCAATAGGAAAATCAATAATAATTTGGTTAAAGTTTTTTTTTTTTGGGGAAATAATAATAAAAAATTAAAAAAACTCATAGGATTTGACCCTTATAACAAAACTCTAATATTTTGATTTATTTTCGATCTAAACTATTTATCTATTTATATTAAGTAAAACTAATGAAAAAATTGTATTTTAGCCATTAAACTCAACGATAAAAATGGTATTTTAAACATTTTATGTATACCTACATTAAGTTTAATGGATTAAATACACTTTTTATGTCGGTTTTATTTAATAAAAATTGTCAAATAATTTAGATTAAAAAAAATAAGGGTTTAAATTAAAAAAATTAAAACCACAATATTTATTTTATTACCATGGTCAAACTCTGAGTTTTTTTTTTTTTTTTTTTTTGTGATTTGTCCAAACTTTGTCCTAAGAGATACTTTTAAAAGTCCAATATCATTTTATACACAAAAATAAAAAATAAAAAAATAAAAAAACAAAACAAAAAATAAAATTAAAAAACAAACCAAAGACTCATTCTCGAAAAAAATAATTACATTGGGAGAAAATAGTGCACTACACTTTAAATTTGGGAAAAAACTCAAAAAACGGAGGGAAGGTGGGTGGATGGATAGTTGAAAGACTCAAAAAAGGAGAGAAAGAGGGATATATATTTTGGACGAAAAAACAGAAGTAAAGAAATCATCTGAACCGTTGATTTAAAATGTATCTCTAATATACTTTGAAACATTTTCAAAAACATCCTACCACATTATATTATATATAGACATATATAATCTGATCAATAGTGTAATGATAGGTAGTATTTTTTACTCTGTTTGATTTCAGTTTTTCAAATTCACTTTTTCAAAAATTTTATTTTTTTATTTTTCATATTTTTTTATTTTCACTGATTTTTTTTAATATTTTAAGTAACTTTTTAAATTTTTAAACACATTTAACATAAATACACTTAAAAAATATAATATTTGTGAAAAAAATATTTAAAAAATTCAGTAAATACAAAAAAAAAATAAAAATTCAATACATTTTTTAAAAATATTTTTGTGTATTTACCAATTTTTTTACAAATATTTTACTATTTAGATATATCTAAGTAAAGTACATTTAAAAAAAAAAAATTACTTAAAATTTTAAAAATATTCACTAAAAACAAAAATCAAAAAAATACAAAAAACAAAAAATAAAAAACTCAATTTTCAAAAAACTAAATTAAAAAAACTAAAACCAAACACACTAATTAATTTTCATTTAAGGAATGAATTTTCGTTTCAACACCCACATAGGTTCTACAATAACTCATTATTTATTAGACCTAGTACACCCATTGCTATTGATCCAAATATAATGTCAGCGTCCAACAGGTCAAGGAAATAAATATATGATAATGTGAACTAGGAAACATGTAATGTAATCTTAAATCAGAACACAACCACAATGTCCATAAATCCTCAGTAAATAACTTATTTTTCTGTTTCATTTCAATAGGAATTACTTCCACCAATGGTTCACGTAGGATACAACCTTGATAATAAATATATCATCAGACGTACTGCACAAATAACATCATCAACATCGACTCAAAAGTTTGAAAACACCTATGGACGACACAATAAAATAAGATCCCCAAAAAAAAATTACAAAAACAAAATGAACATAAAAAAAAAAATGGTTGTGTTGTGTCTCTATTCTTCATCCATATCACCTTTCAAGACAACATAGTACAACATAACTTAAACCCTTCATGCCAGTTCAATATCTTATCTCCTTGTTTTATTTACAAAGAGGGCAAGCATGATGAAGAGATGCTACGCGAAACCGATTGCAACGATCCTCAAAAAAACTAGCAATCAATGCCACATTGACCTAGGGTAGCAGTTTTCGTAGCGTCAGATGTGAAGGGATCAATTCGTACCCATAGCAAGGAGAATATGGAAGCAAGAAGTATGGACCAGACAATAACGATTGTTGGTGTGCGATTTTGGCGACCCAACAAACCCTTGAGGAAGGGATACAAGTGAACAATGACCCAAATGGCGAAGAACAGTTTGCCAAATAGAGGGCCCCACGACTGATACCCGCTGTTTATGGCATAGGAAACACCGGCCACTATACCCACCAAGTTAACGATAAGAACTGTGGTTGGAGGGATGAGAAGAGATGTCCATTTGAACACGTAAAGCTCAGCAAAGTCTCCATCTTCATCAGATGCCTTTGAGGTGACAGTGAAGTTGGTATCAATCCCGGCAAGAACTTTCAAGAGCCCTTGGAAGACGGCAAAGAGATGGGCTGATGTACCGCCGATGACCCAAAACTGTTCATTTCTCCACCAGTCGTCGATACCCACACCGCTCCATCTAAGCTCCAATATACCAGTGGAGAAAATGGAAGCGAAAAGAAGAATGAACCACATACTAGCATAGTTGCTTATCTGCCGGAAACAAAAACAGTAAGCACTCACAAGGCCCGTCACTAACAAGTAGATCACAAAAAGAAGCGACATGAAAACACAAAAGCAGAGGGAACACTTAATTCCCATTTTATTATCAACGATTCAATATGCGTTCAGCACTAGAGAGGTATGCCCATCACAGCATTGCAAGAAATAAGAAGTATAATTTTTAGTAATTCTACACCTCAAGACATTAAGAAATGATAATTATGCAATTAAAAATGAACAAAGAATCAATCACCCAAAAAGGGAAGACGAGAAGTCAACAAAAAACAAGAAACACGAGGAAAGAACACAAAATTTCATTGCTAAGTTATGTACATGCACAAAATATTTACATAATGAAAGTGGTGGGAAGTGAAAGAAAAGGAAAAAAATAGAACTTTTTTTTTTTTTTTTTTTTTGAGTTTATTAAGTATGAAAATGGTTGAAATTACAAGAAAATTAAATATTAACATGGTAAATTAAGTTTTTAATTTCTTGCAAAAAGCACAGGAAAACACAAAAGAGACTTTAATTTAAAAAAGCACAGGAAAACACAAAAGAGACTTTAATTTATCTATGCAAGGGATACTTAATAATTAAAATTTCAAATTTCTCTCCCTTTTTCATGTAAAGTTCTCATCTAACCAAATGCTTGCAAGAAAACATATATTCATGTCCGTATCTTTACTTTCACTTTCCATTATTTTTTTCTTTCTAATCAAACCAAATGAAATCAAGAAATCGTTCAAGGAATGAGTTGCTTAAAAGAAAATGAAGCCACAATTCATGAAAGGCACCAATAACAAAATTGTTACCTCGGGAATGATGAATTTTCCAGTGAGAAGGCAAACAGCAGGAAGTATACAGTAAGCAAGTAGAGGGATAGAGGTGAGAGGATAGACAATGGTATTAATATATGCCAGTCTCTCCAAAAGCTTCAATCTCCCGCTGTAGCCATACCATATGGGGCAATGCCTACTCAAAAGAATCTCAATAGATCCCAGGGCCCACCGAAGCACCTGGTTTAAACGATCAGAAAGATTAATGGGAGCAGACCCCTTAAATGCTGGGCGAGGAGGCATACAGTAGATTGAAATCCATCCCCGTGCATGCATCTTAAACCCAGTCAAAATATCTTCAGTCACGGAGCCATAGATCCATCCAATCTGATCAGGATGAGAGAGAGAGTTCAATTAGTTTGTATTTCAAAAATCAAACGCAATCTGGGAAAGAAGACAAGTGCTATTTACTATCTCAACTACCTCTTTGCCCCATTCAGTCTTGTCCTCGTACCCACAGCTAATAACATGAATTGCTTCTTTTAAAAGAGTTGCGGGATTTGTTGTTGGTGGAATGCCCCCTTGCTCCATAAAGGTTGCTGCAATAAAAACCGGAGATTGACCAAATCGCTTCTCTAAGCTCTTCTGAGACATAAGAAGTGATTTCTCTTCATCGTATCCTGTAGAATACAATGAACACAGTTAATCAAGGCAGTGCGAATGCAACAAACAGATTAATCATTACTATAGGTCAGAAATGAAACCAAAATACCAGTTTCGATACGAATGCTTAATGGGAATTCTATACCTAGATAAGTTAAAAATTGGACAAAAGAAAATAAAAAAGAAGTGTCTAAAATTTGGTGTACTATATATCTTGTTAAACAATGTCGAATAAAAACGTAAACCTGGTCCAAAATAAAACAAGATATCAAAAACTTGCTTTAAAGTCCCCACCTTGCCTCCCCCTCACTTCGCAGTAAGGCATTCATTAGTGTTCACGCATGCACGTTTAAGTGTGTTATATTGACAAACTTGATTCATGATACCAAGGATTATTGCCCATGTAAACCATATTACTTAAAAAAATAGCAACACACACCTTCAACACCGTCTTCTATGTCCTCTGTATTGAAAATAGGAATGGTGGACTCTGTTCTATTTAATGCTCTGTTTTTATCGATGTATTTCTTGTTGCCACTCCTTCCCTTCTTCCTTGAACCACAACAACTCTTCACAATAATGTTTGGTTCCAAATCTTCCTCCGTTAAGACTGGATCATACCCGTAGAGTGCTTGCCTGTTGAAACAACAACCAGTTCCCACATAGACTGGACCCTGGATTCCATCCAATCCTTTCAAGTTGATCTGTAAAATAGGACCAAAACAAAGAATAATTTAATAATAATATAACATAATAACATAATGTTGACATAAATCATTTTCACGGTGATCACACGTGATGAGTCAGGTGGAACCTACATCAAAAAAGACAATATTGCGATTAGCATATCGATCGTGCAAATCAATGCCATCAAACCGCTGTGGGAACTGTACATAGCAGGTTTTCTTCCCATAGGCAGGATCCATCATAAAACACATGGCTTCTTTAAGACACTTGCTGTTGTTGAAGTAGTGATCACAATCGACGTTCAACAGATATGCACCATTGGTCAAGACAGCTGAAACTCGAATCTGGAGGATAGGGAAGAAAGAAAGAAAAAAAAGAAGAAGATAAATAAACAGATAAGCACCTAGACCATTGTGGATTTTCATGCATGCATGTATGCCATTGACCAACCCTATATAATCATATCTGCAAGTTTTACATCTCATGACACATTTATTTAATCAGATTAGCAGAAATTTGCAACTATTATTGTCACACGTGCTCAAAATGCTAAAGAATACAAAACAAAAGCCTGGGAAATACAAACCAAAGCGTTCATAGCTCCAGCTTTCTTGTGATGTTGAAAGCCTGGACGCTTCTCACGAGAAACATAAACCAATCGTGGTAGCTCATTGCCATCTGTATCAAGGCCCCCACTATGGCCTAAGAACACCTGTCCATCCATACAAACAATAGAGGAAATTATAAAACAGAATAAATAGACAGAGGTGTGATTCAAATACACCAAGAAAAAATAAATAAAATACCTGAATCATTCCCGGATGATCCCTAGGGTTATTTCCAGGCCAGGGGGTTCCATCTTGCATTGTCCAACCTTCTTCGGGCATCTTTTGTGCTTTGGCAACAAGTGCATTGATTCTCACCTTGAATTCTTCATATTCCCTCTGTGGACCAAAATGTTTTTCATTTTATTACAAATTTACAATAAAGAATGAGATACAAAGTTGGCTACCTCATTTTGACTATTTTATCTAGATGTTGTGTGAAATATTAAAATTACAAAAGACTTCCTCCTTATTAACTGCATAAGAAAAGTTATGTTCTGCTTTTCAAATGACGACAAAATCCTTAAGGTAGCAACATTTATAGAGTGGTATGACAACCCAAGTCAAACACAAACCATTGCACTATCATTACTTACCTTCATTGCTCTGCGCTCTTTCACAAAAGAAGGTTGAATCTTGTCCTTCAAGTAATCTATCTTTTGAGCAAAATAAAATTCAGGGGCCCTAGGCTCAATACTGTGCTTCTTGCAGAAGGGCACCCATTTCCTTGCAAATTCCGCCGTCTCGGAGAGAGCTTCAAAGGTTAACATTGCTGACCCATCATCTGAAACATAACAAGAAACTTTGTCGACAGGGTAATCCACAGCAAGGATGGACAAGACAGTGTTAGCTGTTACAAGAGGAGGCTCTTTCAGTGGATCCACTGTACTGACAAATACGTCAATAGGTGCTAATTGTGAAGGCTCCCCTTCCCTATCATATCTGAGAAGAAAAAAATACATTATTTTTTTAGTAAAGTAACAAATTAACTATAAAGCAATATTTTACAAAAAATTCTGAATTCTGAATAAGTGATATTTTACAAATAAATTTAATGCAACTGACCTCAATGCAAGCCTGTCCAGGTAGGTTTCACGATTGATGGGTGACCATTTTGGAAACTGATCCAGAAGCCAGGATAATGCAAACCAAACCTCACAGATAACTGAGACCAGCCACAATGGATAAGCATCCGACACTGGATGAGTACAACGGTATTGCAAGAAGAAGCCCAAGATAATCAGCCGAAGTATGATTACTGCACGATAAGGGGTAAGTTGAGAAGAAGAAATAGGCACCACGCGGCTCAAGGGTTGGCGAGCATCGTCAGCCCTGTGACAAAAGAAATCTATCAATTCATCTGGACAGGTGCAGATTAAAATAAATAAAAGAAGAAAAAAAAGACCACTCACAATTCCATTTTCTTTACATTGCATTTAATGGAAATTGGAAAAATAAAATAAAACATTCATTACAAAACATGTACGAAAATGATGAAATGATCTAAAAACATGCATGGAGCCTTTAAACCAAAACCAAGTAAATAAAGATAAGGCTTTTCCAAAGTAGAAACTAAATATAAAAACTAATGCATAGTTTCCTTGATAATCAAGATAATCCACACCAAAACAAATAAAATAGACTTTACTACATCCTATTTGAGAAGATTATACCAAATCGAAAAGAAGAAACAACCAGACGGAATAATTTCATTCTCATGAGAAGCCAAATATTCATTGAGTCATTGCAATTCATTTAACAGTTAGCATAACCACAAGGTAAAGGAAATGTAAATATAAAATGCTCACATTTGCAGTTCTTCTCCATTTGATCCTGTGCCTTCAATATCTCCCTTCCCTTCAGGATATCTATTAGCCATTTGCATAACATTTTTTTCCTGTTTGAGTTTCCACCCTTCAACCCTTTCCTTCCAGTCAACGTTTCCAAGGCCATAAGAATTCAAATCCTTCGAAGGGTCCACAATTCTCACAGGAACTGCAGTGATACATGACATGTCCAGGTGATTACTGGAAGCAAACGGACACAGATAGAGCTCATTGCAGAATTTAGGAGTTACCTGGTTGCCTTGGATCGATATAAGGAAGTGAATGAACATGCTTGTCACCAGGGCCCAAAGGACCTGACGTAGTCCGTACAGATTGGTTGTCAGGTGTAACACTGGGGATTTCACCAGATACCTGAGAAATATGTGATATTGATATGTCAAAATTTCTAGAACCACAAACATAATCCATGAACTATTGCAAGATCAATGCATGGCAAGAAAATCAAATCAAAAGTTCTTTCCTAATAGTAAACAAGGCAGTTATTGAACAAAATTGAAATGATCAAAAGATTAGAACTAGAATTACTATCAATTAGAATTAAAAAGATCAAAAGAAAAAGAAAGAGATGAACTGCTCTCAATTAATGGTACAAGGAGGGTTTTTTTAATGGAACTATACCATCACAACTCAACTCTTGAAGCAAGGCTGATCATGAATTTCGTAAGTTAAGACAGCTAAGAAATAATTAATTTCTTATGTTTAATGTCGCTAGACCCGTAAACATTTTAATTTCCACCACAGTTACAAGATACAATCCACTAGGCACTTAATGAAGTATTGCTTATAATAAAATTTCTGTCATATGTCATGTCTTGAGTTAAAATTTGAGGGCCAACTTTTTCAAGCCCCACTACAAACTTTTTAGCAAATAAGATAGTTATGTGCAAGAGAGGTAGATAACACAGGACCAATTAAGCAAAGCTGAGAAGAATTTTGCGTTGACTAGGAATCAACACAAATGCCCAAATTTTTGAATAAGTTATTTACTATATATTACAGAACCAAGTTACGTCTAGAAATCACAACATATATGGATTAATAAATGTATATTTTTGCATCAAGAATGGTTTACATCAATTACCGAATGCCCATTAGTGAGAAGGGGGATTGGTTGAGATTCATGTCTTGAAGATGAAGATAGGTCAGCATCTTCTCCCTGCCACTGGCGTCTTGCCTTTCCTTGGTTGTAATTGAACTCATTTTCTAGGTCATCAACATCATCTTCTTCATCATCTCCGTCAACTCGAGGACTTCCTGATAAGCACACACAACATAATCTTATATGACAAATGTTTAATTGAAAACCATCCAATGAAATACGATCTGAAAAGGATTATGAACAATCAAGCTCACCTTTGTGTCTCTTATATCTGGTCTTGCACTGAGGGCAGGCTTGATTTCCATCTTTTCGCTCGTACTCGTAACAAGGCCGGCAAACTGGGAAGGCACACTCATTGCAAGCAACAAAAACATCGCCACTGGCCGTAAGGCCAACAGTATCTCCACATATCTGACATATTTGGCCATTCAGTGGCTTCAAGGGCTTGGGCTGAATTACACGCAAACAACACACTGATTAGATATAGAGGAGACTCTTAACAACAATAGCTGTAAAAACACAAAAATGCAGCCTACTCATGATCAAGTTTACATAATATGCTCAATATTCAAACATCAGGAAACCTGACATAATGAGCAATTGTTGACACATTCAGTTTATTCTGAAACTCAATTGTTCCGAGAAGTTTCAGCACGATAAACCAAGGAACAAACTAACTAATTAACTAAACACTCTGAGGTGTGAACAGATATCAACTAGCACACTCGAACGCAGGCGCACACACACACACACAGGTCAAAACAGCCATCAAAAAAGCTCAGTTCAGAACAAATCTGTAAACCATGAAAGAAGGAAAAAGTCTATTATAGAAGAAAGTATCTAGGGTAGAGTTCCCAAATATAGTTAAATCTCACTGAACTGAGCAATCAAGATCTTAGAATTAACCTAGAATTAGTAAATAATTAGGAAATGAGGCAAATTTCTCCAAATCCAACAGTCAAAATCCCACCTTTAGGTTGTCAGAAATTAAGGGCTTGTTTGGTTTGATTTTGGGAGATGAGTTTGGGAGATAAAAAGTACCAAAAGTTGTTTGGTTTGGTTTTTTTGGAAAGATGTTTTGGAAAATTATTTTGAGAGAGAGTTTTGGAAAAAGTGATTGATTTGATGTTTATGAGAGAGAGATTTGTTTGAAAAACTTGTTTGGTTTATAAGTTTTGGGAAATTTTTTTGAAAAAATTTGTTTGGTTTGAGTTTTTCTGAAAACTCATTTGTAGAGAAATTTTCCCAAAAATTTTTGGGAAATTCAAACCAAACGAACCCTAAATTTCTGAGAAAATGTATTACTAATTCAAGTAACCACCAAAAAAAACACATCACACCATAATTTTTGACAAGAACAGCACTTCAACAAAGCCAAAATTGAAATCCTGGTAAATCCCAAATTTAATTGACCAATTTATAATCCATTAAAAAAATGATATAAAATGAAAAAACTTTCAGCACAAAACTCACTCTAACCCAATCAATAAAACTAAAATCTAGACACAGATATGCTAAGTAACAAATATTTGAAAAAACAAATTGAAGAGTCAAAATCAAAATAAGCAGTACCCATTTGCTAATTCCTCGAAATAACAAAACTCTCAGTTTAAAATCACTCAGTTAGATCTAAAACGCAACATTGAATGCAGAGAAACAATTAGATGTGTCCCAAAACTTCAAATCAGTATAACTAGTGTCCAATTTGAGCAAGAAAATAACCACCCAGATCTAAACTCAGCATCTCAAGCAAGTAAACAACAAAATTTCAAACAAAAAAACAAGAAAATATATATTATATTATACTATAGCAAATTGAGAGTGAAAATCGAAATGGGTATGGCTAAGAAATACAAACCCCGCTATCAGAATCGTGCCGAATCCGAACCAACTCGTTCCTCTTGTACGATCCAGCGACCATTCCAGCATTTGCCTCCATTTCTTCTCAAAAAACAGAGCAAACACACAGATTATGAAATATACTATCAGTTTAGGTGAATTTGCGGCACAGATCTTGAGAATCAAGAGAGATTTGAGCTCAAATTGTGTGCAATTTTAGCAGATGGCTAAGATGGGGGCAACATCCTCTGATTCTTCGCCCCAATCAACTCGCCATTTCTCTCTCTCTCTCTCTCTCTCTCTCTAGCTGTGTCTCTTTACTCCGTCTTCCAACTAGTGATATGTTGCTTTGTCTTTTTATCATTTTCTTTCCATTATTATTTTATTTTGATAATTTATTTTCTTACGTAAGATTTTTCACCGGCTAAACCGGTAGCCATGAACAAGACATCTCTTGGCTTGACTTACTGGCTGGCTGTGGCTCCATGTCAATAGATTATGAATAAACCTATACGCATTAATTAGTAAAATTTTAACGATTTTAAATCTTTATAATTTATATAATAGATCAAATTTATAATTTTAAAATAATAATTTCATAATATATGTTGTCAATTAGAGTTTGGATCCCCTCTTTTAATATTCTCCTTCATTTTCTCTTTACAACGGCTAAGATCAGCTGTTGTAGATCTAACGGCTAAAATAAATAAATAAATTTCAATTTTTTTGCTGAAATTTTCCTGCCCGCTGCTATACATACACATAGGTTATACATTTGAGTCACTCTCACTCTCATTCAGCCTCACACTCACCCTTTCTCCTCCACTAAAGCCAACTGCACTGGCGACCACTCTCAACGGCGACCCCTAAACCCAACCTACCTGCGTCAATTGACAGAGTTCGAATCCCCTCCTTGAATATTCTCATTCATTTCCTCCTTGCAACGACTAAGATTAGATTCAAACTCTGACAAAGTTCGGATCCCCTCCTTGAATATCCTCTTTCATTTCCTCATTCTCAGTCGTTACAGATGCAACGGCTATAAAAAATTAAAAAAAAAATCAATTTTTTTTACTGAAATTTTCCCACCTGCTGCTATACATACACATAGGCTATACAGATTTTGTTTTGGACTCACTCTCACACAGCCCCACACTCATCCCTTCTCCTCCGTCGAACCCACCCTCACCGGCAACCCAATACCGGTAGCAACCCACTCTCGACGCCGTTGCCGATCTGACGACGGTGACCCACTCTCAACGCCGTTACAGATTTTGTCTGCTTGGCAAACCAGAGCTGTCACGCTCTTCTCCTCCAACTCACTGAACCCGTTGCACCGGCAGATTCTCTCTACAGCGACCCACTCCCCAAACCGAACCCATTACTTTGCCCTCATTCTGTCTATCCTAACTTCGCAAACCAGAGGTTAGTCTTCATTGTCTCTGTCTCTATAATTAATTATTTGAACTTCATGTTTAAGGATGGAACTGGTTTTTGTGTCTTTGGAATTTTTTCAAACTGAGATTAGTCTTTAAGTTTGTCTCTTTGGAATTTTTTTTTGTTTCTCGAATTTTTATTTTTATTTTTATCTTTAAGCTTTGTAAAGACATTGTTTTTATTTATCCATGTAAAGACATTGTTTTATTTATCCAAGTTGATTGTTTTGTCATCATTGTTTAAGTGTCTAACCTAATACAACCAAGCAACCATTGTGTAGAGAATTTTCCATTTTTTCCAAGTGAGTAAGGAATTTTTTCTACAACAAGTCTTAGCAGTGGCAATTTCTTACTTCAAGGATGTTCACTTGTTATAATTGATGATCAGGCTCTTAAAGTTCACAATTTGTATTTTTATGTTCACTTGCCAAACCCTGTATAGTGACCCAACCCCAAACTAAATGACTCTTGTTGCCTATGAATCAGTGTTACCAAAGGTACTTGGCTTGCATACCTTTTCTTAGACACTTTAAAGAGAACCAAGTAGTTGAAGTTTGGGATTACATAGTTTAATTGATTTATTATTTGATCTTAATTGGGTCTCACTCCTTAGTTCTCATTTCTTGTTTCTTTATCCAAGTGTGACAATGAATTCTTTGATCATAGTGCAACATTGTTTTTATTTATATTTTTGTTTATTTGATATATTTTATGTAAGCTTCAATTCATTGAGGCCTATATTTTTATTTTTATTTCAGTTTCATTTTGATATGGATATGGAACTTGAGAATGATTGTGCTTGGAAGCCAAAATAGGAAATGACATTTGATTCAGAACAATGTACGTATGATTTTTATAATACATATAGAGGAAGAATGGGGTTTAGCATAAGAAGGAATTATTCTAGGAAGAACAAGTTCACTAACCAACTTATTTGTAGACTTTTGGTTTGCAACAAGGAGGGATTTCGGAAGGTTGACAAGCGAAACCCATTGGCAAAAAACCCTAGAGCTGGAATTAGGACTGGTTGTGAGGCTCGACTTTATATTAAATTAGATGAGGGTGCTGGGAAATTTGTTGTCACAGATTTCAAAGAAAAACACAACCATGATTTGGTATCACCCGAGTGTGTCCACATGTTGTCGTCGCAAAGAAAGATATCGACTGCCCAAGCAATTGAGTTAGATTTGGCGGCACAATCTGGCCTTCATTTAGGCCAATCTTTTGAATTCATGGTTAGGGAAGCTAGTGGGAGGCAATGTCTTGGGTTTATGAAATTAGATCAAAAAAATTATTTGAGAACCAAAAGACAACAAAGTTTATCATATGGGGAAGTAGGCAATGTGTTGCAATACTTCAAAGAAAAATCTTTGCAGAATCCTTTTTTTTTTTTAATGCTTTTTCAATTAGATAATAAGGAGCAAATAATGAATATGTTTTGGGCCGATACACAAATGATCATGGATTATGCCTAATTTGGTGATGTTGTCACATTTGATACGACTTACAAGTTAAACAAAGAATATAGACCCTTTGCATCTTTTACCGATCAAGATGTTGCAATGGCTAAAGCCATACCCATCGTTATGCCTGACACGAGTCACTGATTATGTACTTCGCATTTGATGCAAAATGCATTAAAACATGTTAATTTTTTGTTCCAAGATAAGGGGGTAAAGGGTGTACTAAATAAATTCATGTTTGACATTGAAGATGAAAATCAATGGAAGTTAGAGTGGGTGGAAATGCTTGATAAATATGATGCGAATGATAACTATTGGTTGAAATTGACTTTTGCAGTAAAAGAAAAATAGGACTGGCCATATGTTAGATCAACATAGGCTGCGGAAATGAGTACCACACAACTTAGTGAATCTTTTAATGCTTTTTTGAAGGATTACATTCGTTTTGATTTTAATTTAAATGAATTCTTCATGCATTTCGAAAGGGTACTTTATGAGAAGTGATACACGAAGTTAGAAGTAGGATATGCTTTGTGCCAAAGGTTGTCAAAGGTGAAAGCGACTATAAGAATGTTAATTCAAATGGGTAACGTGTACACAAAAAAGATTTTTGAGGAATTCCAAAATAAGTACTTTTGATCCATTGAACCAGACATAAAAGCAATTGAATATGCCGAGGTTTGTACCATTTTCACAGTTGTTGATGTTGGTAGCAAACATGTAAGGAAAATGAAGATGTAGAGGGATGGCTCTATGGGTTGTAGTTGTACAAAGTTTGAAGGGAAAGGAATTTTGTGTTCTCACTCTTTGAAGGTTATTAGAGACATATTGAAGATGAATGAGGTTCCTTCACAATACATTGTCAAGAGGTGGACCAAACAAGCAAGAACGGAAACTGTGAAGGACATTAAGGGAAATGACATTGAAGTAGATGTAAAATTTCAACGAGTCTCGCGGTATAAAACATTGATGACCGCTTTTAGAGCAATAACATGTAAAGCTGCTAAAACTGAAGAAACCTATGATTTTACAATTGCAAAGTTGCTACATTAGGTGCAAATGTTGAATGCAAGTTAAGTGCGCATTTTGGTATTGACAATGAAGTACGTAATGAGGATAAAAGCCAAAGCTTTGAAGTGGATTGCGAAGATGACAATCATGTTGTGCAACTAAAAGGCTTGAAGAAAAATGTGGCAACTAGTAAGGGCAAAAGAAGAGTCAAAGGTGGATTCGAAGCGACGTTGGTAGCGAACTCGGGAAAAAAAAACCCCGTGCTAACAGCTTGGCTTCTTCACAGTCTACTGGAGGTCCAACAGTGAGACCGTCTCCATTAGCTGTTGAAGGAGGCGTCTATATTCGTCAACATGTTTCTCATTTTCATCCTTTTATCATTTATCTGTTGTCATGAGTGGTAATTTCGTGCCTCCTTCATTGATGTATCCCACATATCATGTGAGTGTTAGTTTCAGATTTTATTATTTGAACTATGGGTATAATATGACACTCTATGACTTATTATGAAGCCTACTTTAATGTTGTCCTTGTTGTAGTCAAACAATTTGCGCGAGATGTATGTTGTGCCAAATTGTGTGCCAAATTTAATGCCTCAACGCTATTATGCTCAACCAACATTCCAGTTAGTAATTAAGGTTCATATGGATATGACATTGGGGTACGCTATTATGAAGAATCATATAGTCGAATGTGTAGTGAGGTTATTTCATTAACTTTGGCGATGGATATGACAATTTTTGTACATTGTTTGGCCCTTTGCTGCTATGTGTTGTTAATTTTTTTTTTTTTTGGTTGTCTTAGGCTTTCGACAGGCACAAACAGGTGGAACGTACTATAAATTTCAGTCATAGCAGCTCATAAATTTCGTTGTTTATGAAACTTCCATATCTATCTGTTGCTGAAAAGGTTGTTGTCCTTGTTGTTTATTTTGTTGCTGGCCATATTTTGTTGTTGTCCATTTTTATGTTGCTTAAGTTATTTTTTGGGTGAACATGTATGAGTTTCTTTGGTGTGAAACCAAAATGTTATTGATTTAAAGTTTGAGAATATTTGTTAATTCAGTTTGGTATGGAATGTACTTAAAGCTGTGCAAAAGTTGCTAAAATTGGCCTGAAATTACTGAAATTTAGGTTCTTTAGTGTTGATTCTACTGTTTGTATCCCCTAATTGGAGTCATGATAGTGGTGGTTCTCTATGTCATTTTTACAATGCTATTACAATGCAGAAGAACATATGCCTCTGGTTTGCAAGTGGTGGGTGTCACAATTTCTAAGTTCTTTAATCTTTCACAATTTCTAAGTTTTTGTTTAGATGCTTCTTTTTGTACTTCTTTCTAAACTCCTCTATGAACACAACAAAGGCAGTAAACAGGTTTCTATAAGAATGGTCTCATTATTAGAATGGTTATGCTACTA